TAATTATTGGATATAGGTGTTATAACTATATAATTATAATCTATCTTATTATAATAATATAATAAGGGCTTTAGCCTAAGTCTCCTTTAGGGTCTAACCCGTGATAGTACTCCCCCCTTTTATAAGGCGACATTCCTAAGTTTCTAGCACAGCCATCCCACCTAACACTACCGCTAACTCCTACGTTAGTTCCTAGTACCCTATCTATTTAATAAGGTATTTCTTCTTACGGCTACGTCCCTATTAGATATACTTCTCTTATAGAATAGCCTCTAGTTCCTATTCTTCTTTACTATTAACTAGCTATAATAGTAGTTACTTATCTATTTAAACCTATAAGGGTAAGGGGTCTATTATAATAAGCTATAGTAAGGCTATATAAAAGATATTATAAATACCTAGTAGTATATTAAGATAATAACTATAAGAGCTAATCTACTTAATTACTATAAACTTAGTGTATTTTATATCTAACTTCTTATATAGTTACTTTATATATATATTTTATAGATTAAGCTAGACCTTATTACTAACCTTAAATACTAGTGTTTATTATTATATTTAGTTAGCTATTTCTTCTTATAATTACTATACTACCCCTATTACTACTTATACCTATTTAGTCACTTACTTTAACTTATATATAATAGTATTAGCCTACTAAATAAGGCTCTATATAGCTATTAGCACTAGCTTATTATCTATAAAAGCCACTAGCTTAATATAGTACCTATATATTAAAAAGAATAGACTAACTTTTATAGAGGTTATATCCTAGTTATTTATAACTAGCTCTATATAAAGTAATAAGTCTACTTAGTTATCCTAGCTATAGTTTATAAAGATATATATATAAGTCTTAACTATCTAGTTTATCTATTTTATTAAGCTATCTATCTTAGGATAGTATACTATAAAGAGGCGTCTAGTTATCTAGAGTAGAGTATAGACTTATTTCTATAGTTATCTAATAAATTATACGCCCCTATCTAATATAATAGCTCTTAGTAGACTATAATGTCTATAGAAGACTTATATAAACTTCCTTACTACTATCTTAGCTTATATATTATTATATAGCTTTAAGATAATACCTTTACTTAGTCTATCTATAATAACTATAAGGTTTATATAACTATTACTTTCTAGGAGGTCTATAATAAAGTTAATAGAGATCTCTTACTAGATCTAGTCTAGAATAGGTAATAGTTTAAGGAATCTACTCTTTCTCTCTTACTAAGACTTATTTCCCTTATAACTATTATAATTTTATATAAACTACTATATATTACTTAATATCCTAGGCTAGAAGAATTACTAAGCTAATAGGTTTAATAGGCTCTCTCTTCCTAGGTATCTTATTAATAGTAAGTTATATATCTTCTATATTATTTTAATATATAGTAGTTCCTAGTCTAGAACCTATTATTATTCTTAAAATAAGGGCTTATTACTTACTAATACTAAATATTTACTAATAGAGACTTTAAGGTTTAGCTTTATAAGGAATATCCTCTATTATTATATAATACTACTAATAATCTTACTATAAGCTATATCCTACTCCTTACCTTACGCCTAAAGTAACTTATCTTCTATTAGTAGTATAGTCTCTATTAGTAATAGTTACTTTTACTCTAGGAACTATACTAGCTTATAGTAAAAAGAACTTATAGAAGCTAGTATAATAGGTCCCTTAACTATATATATAGTTTCTAGTTTTAGAAGTTATATTATATAGTACTATAGTTAGTTATTATTTACTCTTTTTAGTAAGTCTTATTCTTATTAAGATACTCTTATTTTATTTCCTAGGTATATATAAGATAGTAAAATTATATCTTAATAAGATAAGAGACTATCTTATTTATTATTTAGTTAGCTTCTTAGCTATTATAAAGTATTCAAGGTTCTTATAGTTAGTTTAAATTTTAAATTCCTTTATATTATATAGTTCTCTATCCTACTCTTCTAGGTACCTAATAATCACTAGTATCTCTTTATTATAAATCTTATAGTTATATTCTACTAAGATATTTTTCTTTAAGTAGAATATATATAGCTATAGTATTCTATTATTATTAAATTATATTAGGGCTTTACTAATACTCTAGGTAGAGGTATCTATTTCTAAAATAGTCCTTTATTCTAAGTTAAACTAAAATAAGACTAGAGCCTTTATAAAAAGCTCCTTTAGTTATTAAAATATAATCTTAGCTTTATTAGTCTATTAGAAGGCTTAGTCCTTCTTAGTAAACGTAATAAGGGGAGCTATTAGGGCTAAGTACCCCTCTATAAATTATTAGTAGAAGTTCGTAAATCTAAGAAAGCTTTATATTACTTTTACTAACCCTAGTACTTCCTAGTTAATAATAGCCTTAACCTTTACTAGGTCTATTTATATTCCTTTACTAGCTTTAATAATAAACCTTAGGTACTTTATCTTAGTAACTCTAAACTTATATTTATCTATATTAAGTTATAGCCTTACCTATTATAGCTTAGTAAATACTTTTTTTATATAGGCTTTATAATCCTCCTTTATTCTATTAATATAAATAAGTATATTATCTATATAAGTAAAATAGAATTTATCTAGGTATTCTCTTAGCGCCTAATTAATATATTACTAAAAGGTACTAAGGGTGTTAATAAGCCTAAATAAGGTAACTAGCTACTTAAAAAGTCTATACCTTATCCTAAATACCATCTTCTATATATCTTCCTACTAGACTTATATCCTATAAAATATAGCTATAATATCTAGCTTAGTAAACTATTTTACCTTCCTAATATTATAAAGTATCTTATAAATTAATAAGAGGGGGTATTAGTCTTTATATATAACTTTATTTAACCCTTAATAGTTAATATAAAAGTATAGACCTTTACCTAGCTTCTTAATAAATAAGATAGGAGTAGTTACTAGGGAGTTACTTATATAAATAAAGTTCTTATCTAATAACTTTATTAGGGTCTTCTAAAGTACTAATAGTTCCTCTCTTAATATATTATATAGTAAGCCTTATAGGACCTTAGCTTCCTTCCTATTCTCCTATTCTAGTTTAATCCTATAATCTACCCCTAGTCTTAATAGTAGAAGTTTATTAGCTTAGGACTTATTAAAGAGTATCTAGAATTCCTAGTATTATAGTAGGAGCTTAGTTCTTAGATTAATAATAATCTTTTATTATAAGGTCTTATTAATATCTACTAGGCTTACTAAAAATATCTTAATCTAATTATCCTTTCTCTAATATTATAACTAAATATAAAATCCTACTTTAGATATCTAGGTTAATAAGCTCCCTATTATACCTATTATACTACTATCTACTCTTAATTACTATAGTCTAACCTCTAAGTACTCTTCTTTTATATAAATACTAACGTCTTAGTCCTTTATCTAAGCTAGTCTTATAATTATATTATAGTTATCTATCTTAGATATAATATATAAGTAAACCTTATATTATATATATCTATTAATATTTATCTAGATAGTAATAATCTCTAAGGTTATAGTACCTTAGTCTCTATTAAATACTATTACTTCTTAAGGTGATATTAGGATATACTAAAGTTTATATTATTATATAAAATGTTTATTAATTACTTTATAAGAGGTATAACTAATATCTATTAATATAGATATAAAAATAATATTATCTATTAGGGTTAAAATAGTAAATAGTATACTCTTTACTAGGTAATCTTCTAATTTATATGTTTTAGGCTTCTTTACTTACTCTTAGGCGTGTTTTTAACTAAGAGCTACTCTTTTCCTAAATCTTTATCTTTATCTAAGTCCTCTCTAGACACTCTAGTAAGGGTTCTTAATACCTACGTAGGTAGGACTACTACTCTTAGGTTATATTATTAAATAAAATACCCTTCTTTACTATACTATAAATATACTCTCCTCCTTCTTTACTTATTAAGCTCTTCTTCTATTACCTATTTTACTTATTAGTTAGAGTTTATAGAATTTAGCTTACTCTTCTCCTAATCTATTATATCTATAGTTAGTTCTAGCTAAGAGGTGTATTTCTCTTTTAGCCTTTATTCCTCGTAATATCTCTTAGTCTAATATACTTAAGACTACTAGCTATTTAGTTAAGAACTTATTATCAGTAGTAGCTTAGT